CGCCGCTGAAGCCGCCCATTTCACCAAGAAGAACGGCGCCCCTGCTATGATCGACGATGCCGACGAGGACGACGAGGCCAGCGTTTCTGGTGGTACCAAACGAGCGCTTCCAACCACAGATGGAGAAGGAGAAGACCTAGAAGCGAAAAGACGACGGATATTAGCAGAGACAAGAGATATTGATGCCGATGACGACAGTGAAGAGGACGAGGAGGACAGCGACGACGACGACGATAGCGATGATGATTCTGATGCGGAGCTACAGAGAGAACTTGATCGCGTGCGAAAAGAGCGAGAGGAGAGAAAGAAGAAAGAGGTATGGTTACGCGATCATTCAATATTGTAGGCTTGGGGCTAACACATACTGCAGGAAGCAGAGCGTCTCCAAGAAGAACAAGATGCTCGAGAACGAAACATTGCCCTCGGAAATCCTCTCCTAAACAAGCAAGATTTCAACATGAAGCGCCGTTGGGACGACGATGTGGTCTTCAAGAACCAAGCTCGTGGCACAGAGGAAAAGGGCAAGAAGAAGGAGTTCGTAAACGTAAGTCTTTTTTGTTCTATTTTTGCATAGCAACGGGCCAGCTTCTATATACATTCATTCACCCTTCTTACTTGAAGGCTGTTTCAAAAAAGACGACATTCGCTAACCCGAACTCTCTAGGATCTCCTCCGTTCCGACTTCCACCGACGCTTCATGAGCAAGTACGTTAGATAATGACATTAGACACAAACTCCTCCTTTTTAGACATTAGATACCCTGGAAATAAATCAACCGCTTGCCTACAATTCCTTGTGTCCGTTATCTGAACCTGCAGCTTGTTCGGCGAGAATCTTCTTCTCCAGACCTTCAAATGCTCCGAGAACGTTGCCGTACTTTTGGTACACTCCCTCGCGATAACCCTCATCAATTCGTTGGATGTTACCCTCCTCGGTCCATCGCTTGCCGATAAGTTCGTCAAAGGTCTCGTTTGGCTGGCGCTCAAGAGCCCACAGGGCCTTGTAGGCTCCGCCCAGAGCGCAGGCGTTGCCGCCGACGTCGAGCTTGTAAACGCCGTCGCTGCCACCAAGGGACTCTCCAATAACCTGAGCAATGGCTGGGTTCAGAGAACCACCTCCAACGAGGTAAATGCGACGAGGCTGGGCAGGTAGGCCAGGTCGAGTGCTTTCGACAAGGTTCTGAGAGCGCAGGCGCATGGAGAGAGCCTGAGACTCGACAATGACTCGGGCATCAGTCTCCTTATCCCAGCCATCCTTTACCTCTTGAAGGTCGGAACCATCGGGCTCACAAGAGTATCGCCAAGTACCGGCACGGATATTTGGCACCACCTCAGTAAGGTAGAAGTACAGGCCCAGCTTCCGCCTGTCGTCATCTTTCGCGGCACCGAGGGCGGGAGTGCTCTCAATAGCCTTGTTGAAGTTCTCCCAGCCAGTGGGGCCATTCTCAGGCTTAGGGAGTTGATCTCGAACTCGCTCACGCGCCAGACCCCCGTTCTTGTAACAAAGCATGAACATGTAGTGGCCATCGGTTGTAGGGTGGTTGAAGAAGTGATAAGCACCATCAGGCTTATACTTAGGTGTGTTCATGAGGAAGGTTGTGGAGGTACCCAGCGAAACAATAGCGTCCAAGGGTCGAAGGGGGAGAGCTAGAATAGTTCCGGGGTTGTCACCAGTGAAGGGTGTGATCTGGCAATCGGGGTGGAAGCCGTGACGGTCCACGAAGTAGGGTGAGATAGCGCCCAGAACAGCGGCGCCGTCCAGACAGGGCTCGCCGAGCTTCTTCTTCAGGTTCAGGGCATCACGCTTGCTGCCAGCAGCAAGCTCGAGAAGAGGCTCACTGAATGTCTGGCGAGACATATCCCACAAGTTCATGCCGCAGACATCGCTAACATCCATGGGAGCAATGGCACCGAGGAAGACGGATGCGAGCCACGAAGAGACGAGAGAAATGTGAGCAGTCTTTGCGTACATATCTGGGAGATCCTTCTTGAGGCGCATAATTTGAGTTCCGGTGAAACGCTGAAATACATGTTAGTGTTGCTTTTGATATATAACCTGGTACTTAACATACGTGGTGGGCACCGCTTCCAGTAACCTCGGCGAGCTTCTGGCGGTCGCCAAGCGCAGCATCGAAGGCATCACATTCAGCTTGGGTGCTCTGATCCTGCCAGTTGGGCGACCACTGGTGCGAGAGTGCCTGTGGCAGCTGAACCACCAGGGGAAGACGAGGGTCAAGGTGATGAAGGATCTCGTAGGCGTTCCCGTTCCAGTAGACGCTGCCATGCTGCTGACAAGAGCCACTGATACCGCGAATGTGAGAAAGAGGGACAGGCATAGCTTCAGCCAATCGGTCAAGAACGAGGTCTACGGACTCCATCCACATGGCGACGGGTGCGTAGACCTCGCCTGTCTCCTCGTAGACATGGACACCTTTCTTGATGCCATATTTGTGGCCAAAGTCCTTGTCAAAATCGACCTTGGCTTCACCAATGACCTTGAGGTCTGAGTCGACGACGAGAGCTGGAGATACTGTCAGCTAATTGCGCTGGAAACGTGTTGCTGAGGGTATCTTATTTGACGTGCCTTTTAGCTGCTGCGTCGACAGATCAAAGCCGAGGTATAGAGGCTTGAAGTCCGCAGACTTGTCTGTATTGTTGTCCCGAGCGAGGAAAGGCATCGTGAGTTGGTTCAAGTTGATAAAGTGGTACGTATGAAATCAGTCAAGATATTGAGAGATGGGAAACTATCCAAGAGCGCCAACCACAGCGACGTCAATGGTAGCAGTTATGACGACAGGGGATGTCAATCGCAGGCCCCGTAAAGATTGGAGGTTCTGCACTGTAAATTTATAAAGGTACAGTTGGTTATACAAGGACCAATGAGTGACCAAAGTGTGTACGTTGTAGGATTGAGTTGAGTGAGACTGAGGAAAACACCAGAAAAAAAGCCACGAGCTGGGCTTTATACTGTTGTACCTTGCCTTAGCTGAGGTAAGGTACAGTACAATAGATGCTTCACTGCCGGTAACTGCATCATGTTAGACCGCCACCGTCAACCCAGCAGGGAAGAATGAGAGATAGACACACTAAAAGAGTGTCTTCAGTGGGTAACATGCATCAGAAAAACTTCAGATGGCAACTTGAGGTGTGAATATAGTAATGGGTATCCAGACTCATGTGAGAACGCCCAAGTTTAAACACGCAACACTATTATAGAAATGGCTGGGTTTATTCTTTCTGTTCTTTTCTCTTTGCCCAATTTATTCAAACCCAAAAATAAGAACACGCCAATACTGGGCTCAGAGGTCATATGAGCACAATTACATGTCCGGGGGTATATATCCGTATGCAGACATTTTATACTCTATCTCAACAGATACTTTCCAAGCCCTTGTTCCTGGATAGTGATCAGAATACTGGCAACCCGTAACTACTACCTGTGCCATTATGGTTATCTATCATAACATGTTGGCCAATTTGTAACTACGTAGTCTTTTTCTCTAGGAAGATAAAAGATGGAGACTTTCTCTTGGTTTCCATCGTCCATATCAACGTGGGGTTTCGTCTCCGCTACAAGTGCTCTGTAAAGCTCTTACAATTGGCAATGTCATATCCCGCCAAACCAACCCCAGTTTTTCGAACCTCGATAAAATGGCAGCCTGGGGACCAAGGAGGGGCGTGTATAGAAAGGAATATCGTTGACCTTACGACGCTTCACACAACAGACACAGACATTGAGACAAGTCACGATATGGATCAGGCAGAGGAAGTTGTAGAAAGATAACTGTCGATGAACAGTTATTTTCGAAAACATTAAAGAAGCATTGTATACGGTGATATATCAACAAACGCGGAGAGACACCAATGCCAAGGAGACTCCTTACTGATCGACATCATTATCCAACTCTCAAGTTGCAGGACCTAGAGAACCTCTCATTAGTCTGCTATCCGTTTTGTGAATTAGGACATGTGCAGAAAACAGTTCATTTTCTCTTGGATGTACTCAATCTCTTCATCAATCCCAGCGTTCTGTTCGCATTTAGCCTAAACTTGTCAAGAACCATCTTAAACTTCACACCCATCTCTTATATCCCGGCCAATAAGACCCGTGACCTTAAAGACCCAGTGAAGCGCCAATGGGCAACGAGCGCTTGTAACGACAGTTTGTACAGTTCAACAACGTTAGGGGGTGTAGAAAAAGCCAATTCAGGTACAGAATAATTAATTTCTCACTGTCAGCTGTGATGAACATTTGTTCCTCCAGGCGAATAGAGACAGACATACTGTTTCCGTGTGAGGCGGATGCACAGACACTTGCCAATACTCTCTCAAGGCTCAGCGGTATGAATTCACTCATCTCTGTTAAAACAAAGCATTCGTTTCTTCTCGTTGTCTAGTATTCCCATTCTTGTTGTTTTGATCTACACCTATATATATAGTAGTCCCCTGACTCCTGTTTGGGGCGCGTCTAAGCTGGGCAACACCACAAAGAATGACCTGCATATTACTTTTCTCCAATCCTCGAATGGGCAACACAAGCCAAACCCAATTGGCTATCTTGTCTGGGTATCGATACAGCCATTCGTCCTTAATAGCTCCATCTATGATGTATAGCTTCTAAAATATTTTCCTTGTGCCTTCTCTTCCAGTGTTTATAATGTTCCCTATGCATCCCTCCGCCATTCTAGGTCGATTTCTGCTGCAACAGGAATCTCTAATTCCATAAGAAGAACATGAAAAGAGGCGTGTACAGATATATGCTGTTGGCGTTGTTCGTCAGGTAAACAGCTACCAGCTACTACTGGATTCGCGTCTCATGCTCCTTGACTAGTCGCTCGTCAATTCAGCTCACCTGGCCGGACTCCACTGGCCCGCAGCTCAATTCCCAAGCGAAGCTAGCCCCTGATCGCTAACAGGGTTGACCTTGGCGTGCCATAAGAGCAGAGGTAATAACAATCAACATTGAGTGGAGGGTCGTTTTGTCTTTAAGCTTCTTCCACTCTAATGCTTGTTCCTGTTCTGGAGGCCATCGCCATGGTCTTGGTTGCCGTTTGATTTCAGGTCATGGCCGTGATCATGGTCCGATTCTGCTTCAGAAACATCCTCCTCTGTCTCTGGGGGCAGAATCACGGTACCGGGGATAAAGTCGTCAAACTTGGCCTTGGAAGTTGCCTCCTTTGGTGAGAATCGGATACGAACCCTTCGCACACCGCGCACCTTGCCTCCTACTTGTGTCCGTACTGCATCCTCAACCTGCTGTGTTGCATCAACGGACCACGCTCCGGGCACTGTCATCTCAAGATCCACGAGATAATTCTGGCCTGATTTGATGCCGCTCACTTCGCGGAGGGAAACCTCTTGCCCTTCTGCCACATTCTTCAACGCCTTGTGTGCATGTTTTGATACCGAAGACTTGATATCATCATCAATACCTTGATCCGCCAGTTCACGGAAAGCAGAAACAGTATTTCCGGCACCAGCTTGGATAACCATGATTGAGATGAGCAAACCACCGACGGGGTCCAGCCACGCCGCGTTCTCCATCATGTTAGCTCCTATGATGGCAGCCAAAGTGACAAAGCCCGTCAAACTGTCAACTCGGTGATGAATAGCATTTGATGCGAGAACCGAGGATCTGCGTTCACGCGCAACCTTCATTGCTGTGATTTGTCAGCTCACGTTCTTCGATGCATCGTTGGTCTCGTGACTAGATAAAACTTACTAGCATGATATAACCATTCCTTAATCAGGATTGTTCCCGCGGCGAGCCAAGCTGCGTGCATGCTTGGAATACCAAGTGCCGCGGCTCCATGAGAATGGCTATGGCCGTGTCCGACGTGTTCGAGGATACCGTGTGCTGCTTCCGGGTAAAAGTGACCGTAGAGACTGATGCCGCTGTCCCAGCCCATGTATAAACCTCCCATTAACAACATGCTTGAAACACCCAATGAACCCAAACTCTCGACTTTGCCAAAGCCCATAGGGAACTTGTCTGTTGGTGGCTTCAGACTCCATGTAACCGTAGCAAGAGTCAAAATATCGGATGCAAGATCAGTGATGCTGTGCCAGGCGTCTGCAGTCATAGCTTTGGAGTTGAAAGCATATCCACCAGCAAACTTGGCAATTGCCATGCCCAAGTTGGAGACCAAGCCGAGACGAGTGATGCGGACGCCTGGGTCGTCCTTGTTGCCTGATGTTAGGTAGGCGTTGTCGTGATGGTGATGGTGACCCCCTAAAATGCCGTGGCTATGGCCGTGGTCATGGCTGTGGCTATGTTTGTGACCATCTTTCTGGTCGCGACCAGAGTCGGTATGCGATCGTACCTGGGACATTGAGGCTTCAACAAGAGATGGTGTTGATTGAAGTCTGGTGCGAAAAGATGTTAGATGCGGTAGAGAGTTTGTTGAAGGGCGAGCGTAGGAGATGGTATTTGGCGAAGCCTGGTGGTGGGTCGAGAGCTTAGACGAGGCTGCCAGGTATGCACAAGTTGATAGTGCAGCGAAGATGGAAGCGCGTAAACGGCGAGGACAAGCGAGGTGGAGAGGACGAGGGCCAGTATTTGAACGCAGAAGAAGCATCTGGCCACGACATGTATTTTGAGGAGAGACTTGGACATTAGGGTGTCTTGCATGTCCCCACGAGGCAAAGCCACGACTGCGACAGCTAGTATTGTGAGCGCTGGGACATTGCGCTGTGGCTATTTGCGACGTCACTCCCAGTACCACTCCTCCTATATTTCCGCCTGTGCTTGCGCCTGTACCTACGCCTGGGCCCATGAGACGCCCGGCCTGCGGGAGACACATATATCCGAGATTGGAGGAAGTCCGTAAAGTGGGAGAAGAGCCGACTTCCAGTGGATAATTGATTGCGTGTAAAATGTATATATCGTTGCGTCGTTACGTTGCACAGTTGGAAAAAAAAGAAAGGAAAGGAAAGGAAAGACAATATAAAATTGGTGCTGCTGTTGTTGACGTTATGCCCGTTAACGGAGTTTCAAGTTTCGGAATTGGTTCAATACGCCGATGTGGCTCGGTCGAATACGGATCAAATAGCTCGGGGTATTTGATCAGTCAATTGAGTTCAATAAGTCGAGTTGAGTTTGGATGGAAAGAAGAAAGAAATAGCAGAAACAAGATTATCGAGATTATCAGATTAGACAGCTCACAGCTTTAGCTCCACTGATTGATAATAATAAAAAGGTTGATTGCGGCAATTATTAGAGAAAGAAAGAGCCATTGAGACGAGACAAGGTGAAGTCAAGTAAAGTAAAGTGAACCCACTATCTACGACACTCTCGCCTGATATGGCTCCCCAACGTTCCGGTCTCCGGAATTGCCCTTGACCGCTGAGGTAGATCTTTAGCCAGGTCCTAGTCTATCGATTGCCAAGTTTCTTAGAACTCAGGTACAGCGCATATAGACCTAGACCGTAAGTATGCTTTCACACCTGTATCAATACTTCTATTCAGACAGTCCAGTTGACATTTCTAGTTCCCTGTACTTGATGAACGTACTACCCATTATGACTATGGATTACTAGAACTGACTCAATGTCATGGTGGCCCTCTATTATTAGGTCTGGCGCGGAATGTGGGGGAGGAATTGACCAAAGTCTTAGTAGCTTCCCACGTAGGTCCTCCTAAGCCACAGGGATTCGTTTCTAAACTCTAGCCCGTTCATAGCAAGGCTGAGAAACGTCCCTGAAACCAATGACGCGCTCTCTGGCTAAGAATAATCAATCCCTGTCACTAAACCTGCGGTGCTGTGAAGCCATTCACCACTCGTAACAACCACTTCTCCAATTGCCTGTCGACGCCATTGACTTGTGTAATTTCGGTCCTCCAGTTCAAACCCGGATAATCCTTCATCTTCACTGGTCAAGACTCAGCTTGCGCCTCACGATTTGCTCTTGACCAATCCTCCACGAGCAATTAGAAACAGCCTCGTCAGCTGTTGAAGACTGCACTTCAACTGCCTTGGTTGTTACTAAATCAAGTAATCCTTGAACTGCGACTCTGGGAGAAACCTGGCCTCAATGAGCAAACCTCTACTCAGGATCCCTTACACGGACCTCCCCTTACCCTCAGTAATTGCACCAGCTTCAGCCTCTACCCTTCCCGGTGCCATTGCTGCCCTTCATCGCTTCTTCGTTGCTCCGTCTCCGAGACATCTTCCTCCTTCTGCCGTTGTCCTCACTGGTGCAGGCCTGTCAGTCGCTTCTGGCCTAGCAGATTATCGAGGTGTCAAAGGCACTTACAAGGTCAACAAAACATATCGTCCCATATATTATCCCGAGTTCCTCAAAAGTCATGAATCTCGGAAGAGGTATTGGGCTCGTAGCTTTCTGGGCTGGTCCAATCTACAAAAGGCATCACCCAATAGTGGACATTATGCCATTAGGGACTTGGGAGATTTGGGTCTAATACGAAGTGTTATTACTCAGAATGTTGACTCTTTTCACCCAAGGGCTCATCCTAATCTATCAACTCTAGAGCTACATGGGTATCTAAGGGCTGTTGTCTGCACCACCTGTAAGAACGAATTCTCCCGAAACGAGTTCCAGGAGAAGCTGGCTAGCCTCAACCCCAGATGGGCTGAGCTACTAAAGAAAGCCCTCCAGTCAGGGGCGCTAGATACTGAAGACCCAGTCGAACGTCGGTTCAAAGGCCTCAAGGTTAACCCCGATGGTGATGTTGACCTGCCAGACGCCCCCTACACAACTTTCAGATACCCGCCTTGTCCCAAATGTTTGTCCCACCCGCCAAACAATTCAGACGGTCACAAGCATGTTGTGCAAATCGACACAGATGGGGCTTGGAAGTCTCCCAGCACAGCAGGTATTCTCAAGCCTGCTGTTGTCATGTTTGGCGAGAGTATCGACAAACATGTCAAGCACTCGGCCGAAGAAGCCATCGATAATGCCGGAAAGCTACTCGTGCTGGGCACCTCACTTGCCACTTATTCTGCTTGGCGACTTGCCAAGCGAGCTCAGGATCGGGGCATGCCCATTGCCATCATCAGCATGGGCGGTATCAGAGGCGAGGATAAGTTTTTTGCGGGTATGGACCCCAATCAACAAGGCGAGCAGGGCGTAAGGGTCGCTTTGTCGACGGACGATCTTCTTCCTGCTCTCCTGTCTGCCCTGCGCAATGATGTGGCACCTGCAGAGGAGCCAGAAAAGGCCTCACTGCAAGCTTCGATCGCAAACCCCGGCATCTTCAAGGATATGCTTTCTTAGTCCATAGATCTGTATACGACTACCCAGCCATGAGGTTGGAACCATTTACATTTAAAAGAAGTTTTTGAAGCTTCCGCTTTTTGGCTTTGCTGGTGCAGCTTGAGCAGATTCCGTGGTCTGCGCCTCGGCAGCTGGTATCGCTGTCGAAGTTACGGTGATAGGTTCAGTGCGCTCGACCTTCTCCCGTTTCGCCTTGCGATTTGCCTCATCACGCTCAATGGCCTTAAGCACTGCAGAGATTCATTAGTGACAGGTCCCAGTGATATCTTTGATCGTGTTCTTACTTTCTTCCCAGTCGGCTTCTTTTCCAGGGTCGCCAGTGCCGAGTGCCTTCTCAACATCAACCGTTTCTCCCCTCTGAATCTTCTCAACAACCTCCCGCAAAGACGTAATCCTGGCCTCTGATTGTCGCATGTATCGATCAAAAGAATTTCGTAGCGCGATCATCTGTATCGACATTGATCCGATGAGAAGGAATATGACAATAAAGAATGTCGCCGGGTTCCATTCTTTCGATGTCTTCTTCAATTGACGGTTTTCCTTTCGCAAAGGCTTCGGTATTAGGGAACGCCAGAATTGGCCATCAGCAATGGTTACAGGGGCTGTGCTTGAGTATCGAATTCCGAATTTGGATACATGAGATACCCTCAATGCAATTGCAGTGGCTCGGATCTGGCCTGACCGAATCGAGAGTGTTCGTAACGACATGTTGGTCGATTTGAAGCTGTTACAACAACGATGTCTTTAGCTCAAATCCCGGGGAATGACAAAGATCTTCTACCGAAAAGTTGAGAGCACGGGCCATTCGATCCGAGATCCGATAGTTGCCCCAAGCAACCGCCGCTGTTTGCGAATTCCGGGGCTAGACTAAACTACGGATACCTAACAGGGACTAAATCAACCAGTGATTGACAATTGTCGATTGTAGAATTGAAGCCTTTTGTTTTTCTAACATACCTACATATTGTACCTCCATATTAGGAGCTTTTGGTTTTTTTACGACGGCATGTTAACGAAATTCCACACGTAATATCCAAATGGCTTCACTACAAGCAAAGGCCGACGCGGTCAAGACGGCCCTGACAGACACCTCGACATGCACAACTGCGACCGTTGTGACCCTCAAAGAGTTGTTATTACTGGACGCCGACAACTCAACAGCAGCACCAAAGACAACGACAAACTCAAAGACGAAAAGAGCGGCGCCAGGCAAAATCCAGACCGCAAAGTCTAACACAGAACAGCTACCCCCAAAAGACCGTGCTGCTCTCGCGACGCAAGTTATCAACATTTGCATCAAGTCCTTGAACGAGGCTGCGAAACCATCAGTCCCCACGACTCCTAGCAAGCGACAAGCATCTCAGAGCGATCTCAAGAAAGCTTCGGGCCCCCGAACACTACGCAGGTCCCTATCCGCGCCCTTGTCACCGCTGCAGCCCCGAACCTTGAACCGAGTCGCTACTTCACCGAACGTCGCATCGAAGGCAACATCACAACCACCACAACAATCGACAGGATGCCTTGCCGTTGTCGAGTGCGCGCGCGCCTCTTTTTCATTCCTCCGATCAACTATTGGCGCTGTTCAACCCACACAAACAGACTTTCAACTCGAGAATGGAATGTCAGCATTCATCGGCAAGCTTCTGACTCTAGGGTTCCAGGATCAAGCACTGAAGGAGCTGAGAATCTTGAAACGGAGATTGGATGCTGGGGTCGGCAAGACAACAAAACCTGCATCAAGCGAGGGGCAAACAGCAGCTCAAGTTATTGCAGAATTACTCGACTATGGCGACAAGATCCCCGACAACTTGCTTCCTGTGGTCACAGGATGCCAGTTCCAAGTACTAAGGTGGATTTCGCATTCAAAAAAGCCACACCATATCGAAGCCGCAATGCCGTTTCTTGAGGAATCTCACGTTTCTTCCCCTGTCAGACTGTATGAGAGATTAGGAGCTCAAGACAAGAAGGAATCGCAAAAGGCGGCTCGGCAACTGGCATCCTTATCCCAGACAATTCTGTCATTCGCGCCGAGTGTGTCTAGCAAGGAGGACCAAGTCGCCACCGAAATTCGACTGAGCCCCTCTCCCACTTCAGC